AAGTCTCGAATGAGACGAGACGCGTCTCGAGAGACGGTGGTAACTTACTTTTGAGCGGTACTGTAAGCTTTGACGGATGCTAAGAACGAATCCTAATACAGTCTCTAAACGTTTTCTTCATGCTGAGCTCAGCGGCAATATATCTCATGTCTTTTAACATTTTTTCCTCAGGTTGTGCGTTCCAGTGGATCATTACAGTATAAAGATAAACTCATTGCAGCAATTAACTCAACCATTCACCTCAAGTGTAAAGAAGCAGCTACTCTGGGGGCTATAGTAAGTAGAGTTTAGCCCATAGTATTTGCGAATATGACATGTTATTATACATTGAACTCACTATCTCTTTTCTGATTGGCCGAAAGCGTACAGTGAATTTTCGAAATCAGCGCCTGTGACGTTATCTAGCTGCAGATTATACAATAGTCATGTCAAGGACACTCAAGGTCACGGGTAATCATGTCATGTATGACCGCGGTGCAGGATTTCTAAGCGTAATCATGTCAAGTTCGCGCGCTTTGTGTTACTCTCCTTCTGTGAAGAAGCAAAAACTTGACTTCCATTTTTTTTTCCAATGTATAATAAAACAATTATTAGGTTCGGTGTTTGTGATATCCAGAGAAATCAAGGTCGAGGTGGGGGTTATCAGCCTTCTGCTGAGGCTGAGGCTGATAACCACTACCTCGACCTTGATTATTCTGGATATCACAAAAACCTCATCCAATAATTGTTTATAATTACCGTTATATTTGAATTATATACTTAGGATTTTTGCAAATTTCTTACCGGGAATTTCCATTCCATTTGATTTTCCTCTCGGAATTTTCGGTTGAACGGCCCGCTTTTCGGTAATTCAACAATTTCGGATTTTCTGGAAACTTTGCCGGGAAACTTTGCCGGGAAATTTCCGTATAGTACCATTTGTCCCTGTTTCGAAATCTTCGGAGTTTTTGCCTGAATGAAGTGTGTCCCATATTTTTAAGATTTTGCGCAGAATAACAACTGACCTTCAACTGATCTCCGTGGGATGTGCCACTTGAAATTCCTATTTTTTTTCTATTTTAGTTCTCTGATCAGCATTTCTCTTGTTTCCCTGTAGCTCCTGGAACACATGTTGCGGCCGCTGGCCAAAATTTGCCCCATGGAGTGGAGGAGCGTGTTGGTTGACTTTGGAACACCACCGACAGAGCATCTGTTTATAAGGGTGAGCTTTTGTACACGTTTAACGTGTGCTAATTAGGTTAGAATAACTTTAATAAGACCGTATCACAAGTTGATACGAGTTATTCGAGAGTTTTCGGCAAACGGTGTGTTTTTCTTCTAATCTCAAATAATTCACACAAAAGTAGAAAAATGTCTCCTTCTATTCACCACAAATGCAAATATTTTCACGCTACTGTACAAAACAGCTGAAGACAGACGGCAAAAATTTCGTTTGCCGTTTGCCGTAAGCGTCATTCGTAACCTCTCGGAAAGGACTTGTGTGACCGTGGGGAGTAAAATGGTACTGTAAGGTAGCTGGGCTGTTAACAGCCTCCTAGATAACGTGCAAAGTTTCAGGCATAGTGTTTTATGGTAAAGAAGAACATCGACCTTTCCCGACTTGTCGGTCGCAGAATATCACTGTCTTTACAGCTCACAACTCGCGTGTAGTTATCATCAGCATTTTGATATGGTACCTCGGATGTGCTCAGGGGAAAACGAAGAACCAATGCTAGATTGGACAACAGCATCAGAAGTTCTTTGGCTTGGTGTACCTTGACATACGTATTTCATTGTGGATATACACAAATTTACGTCCTGAGAATAAATTGTATGGTTTTTACCTAACCAAAGGCAAAGAAACAGAGTCAGACTAGAAAAATGTTTTGTATTTTTTTTTCTAAAGAAGACTTCACTGATGTGTTCCATCGAATACCATACCCCTCCAAAGAATGACTTTCAGTCTTGGAACCCCTCCCTCCTTAACCCTCCGGAAATTCCAGTTTGGATTTATAGTTTTCTTTAAAGGAACGTTTGGCTTTTGAAACCTCCTCTCCACTGGAATTTCCAATGACCGTCTATAGGATGGGTAAGGATTTTTTCAAGGAAATAGATTCCTGGTTTATTCAACAACTTCTGGCTAAAGATCGTTGAAATCATTATGATTTACATACTTATACCATCAATCTTCCGCTCATTTTGCAATAACAGTGTAGGTAACGTTGAAACAGAATTACACACAAAAAAGAGTCAAGTTCGCTCAATACAGACTTTTTTCATTGTAGGAAATTATTGTGTATTTTTTAACGGCACGTGTAGGACTGGGGAAAACCAGGAGACCTCTTTAACCTTAACATTCAGTGGCACATACCATCTGAGGAGGAGAAGCTTTTAGGAAAGGAGCTGTTGGACACATTTTTACAACCAGTGCTGACGAGGCTGGAAAAATTCCTGGAAGAATCGTTGACACTCTCAAGGTAAATCAAATTCCCCCCAGCATTTTGACAGAATTGTTTGCTCTAAACTTCATATACATGTATAGTGGTCCCCTTTTACACCGCCGTTTGCAGTACTGGAATAACAGTCAGTCATCACACATTGACAAAATGTTTCAAGTTTTATATCTAATTTCNTTATGATTTACATAATTATACAATCAATCTTCCGCTCATTTTGAAATAACAGTGTAGGTAACTTTGAAACGGAACTACACACAAAGAGTCAAGTTTGTTCAATTCAGACCTTTTTCATTGTAGGAAAATAATTGTGTATTTTTTAACGTTGCGTATAGGACTGGAGAAAACCAGGAGACCTTTTTAACCTAAACATTTAGTCGCACATACCATCCGAGGAGGAGAAGCTTTTAGCAAAGGAGCTGTTGGACACGTTTCTACAGCCAGTACTGACGAGGCTGGAAAAATTCTTGGAAGAATCGTTGACACTCTCAGGGTAAATCAAATTCCCCCCAGCATTTTGACAGAATCGTTTGCTCTAAACTTCATATACATGTATAGTGGTCCCCTTTTACACCGCCGTTTGCAGTACTGGAATAACAGTCAGTCATCACACATTGTGTGACAAAATGTTTCAAGTTTTATATCTAATTTCTTTGAGCTACCTAATGTAAGTAAAGAAATGAGAAATAATGAAAGAAAAATTGGAACAAAATAGATAAATTTGTCTAATATTACAGGACAAACTTCATTTGCGGAAGGTGTTAAAGTCTGTAATTGTACGATATTGATTTGGAAGTGTGTTCCAGGGTTTAGC